TCCTATTTTTTCATATGAGCTCACCTTAATAAATACAATCAATCCAAATCGCTCAAAAAGTAAATATTGCCAAAATATTATTAGATGCATGTACAGATATTTCAAAAGCTATAGCACTAAATTAATCCCCATCAGATTCCATTGTTGGATACTTCTGTGTGGCTTATCATTGACCCTTTAATGTAACGATAGAGCGGATCCATTCGAAATCGAAACTACCTTTAAAGCTTTCATGCGAAAATAGATGTTGTGCTTTATATTCACGACAGCAACAGACTGAAAAACGGAAGCAGCCGATGAATTATGTAGTTCTGCGAAGCTGTTCTAAATTCTTTAAATGAAGGGAACGCCGCGTCATGCCGCGCTGCATCGTGCTGCCCCTCCCTGCCGTCCGTGTTGGCGGTTTTGAATTAATTGAGGATTTTAATGGTTGTTTCGCATTACTTGACGTTACATAGATGAATAGTCTGTCCGTTCGCTCATAGAAATATTGTAGTCAAATTGAAATGCCTGGGGCAACAAGAGGGCGAAGGCTTAGTTCAGATGAAGCGCATCGATGTTATAGCATACAAGGTACGCTTGGATTATAAAGAATATACTTTCTACAAGTTTATCCCTTACATACTGTCCCAGTCTTAAAAAGAAGTATAAGCCATATTTTTCAACTACCTCAAAGAGTCAATAAAATCGTTGAATGACAGGATATAATGATGTGAATAATTGTCTTTATTGTAATCACTAATTATTTATAAATGAATCTTCAAGAACAAGTTTACCTAATATTTCGTTTCCTCTTCGGTATCATCGAATGTGCAAACATTTTTTCGCTGCCTCATTTGTATATAACTTGAAGATATTCCAAATCACAGTCCATTTTTCAATTTCATTCAGAAAAAGGTATGTGTCAAATTTTGTGATTTTTATTTCAATGTCGTATAGTAGTGACCTTTTTTTCGAAAGATACACCAGTGAACGCACCGGAAAGGGGGGAGGGGCAAATGAACAAGCAAAGAAAGCGTCTAGTATCTCAATACGCGCGTGGACGCTTGCCGTAGATTTTCGCTCTTCTATGTAAACTACTAATATTCTAAAATTAGCTCAAGGCACGTATCTTTGTTCCTCCTACGAGCACCAACTGAACAAGCAGTGGAAGCGTCTAATCCAAAACTATCTAAAACTGTAATGACTCATCGATGTTCACGTGAACATCACTCCACCGCCCCGGTAGTCGGGTTGTCAGTTGCGGGCTATGGATTTTTAATGTGGGTAAACTTGATTTCTTTTATACGTTCAATAAAAAAGGTAATGGTTTGACACACGTTATAGATCAGAAATTAGGAGATTACCCTTGTCAGTTTTTTTTCTGATTATCCATGAGCTAATTTAGTGTAGCTGTTTTCATTCGTCATCGCTTACACCTCCATCTGGAAGTAATAAGCTGTCGCTATCGCTTTCTTAACCAAGACTGACTATAACTGGCTGGATGATGGTGTCAATGTTGTAGTCAAGCTGTCACTTTTTTTATTCTTCCTTCACAACATGACGGACAGCATTCTGCTACGCTTCAGGGGTTACTATATTTTCTAGCAAAGCCTTGACGTCTGGTAATTTAAAAGTTGTGTTATGGCACACAATATAACCCTTCACTCGGGCCCAGATGAGCTCTACTGGGTGACCCCACAATGACGGGCCATCTCAACAATCAAGTAACTAATATTCGCACATTTGTGATGTTTAATTGTTTCGCACAGTTCCGCTTTTACACATGAATTGTCAAACGGAATGCCCTTTTCGCGCAAACATTGATGCTTCTCACTTTTTCGAGACCCCATATTTGATACACGTTCGGCTCGATGGTAGGAAGCATTATCCATGACGATCACAGAGTTGGTTCAGCTCTGAAGCACCACTTGAAACCAGCTCTTGAAGCAGCTGGCATTTATTTCGACATGGTAATAACCTCCTTTCTTAGAGACGAAAGGGAAGTTACATCCCTCTATAAAGCCACTATCGCTGCCACTGTATGTAACGATCAATCTTAGACCTTTCCCTGACGGTGCACCTGTTGACAAACCTTCAATGCTTACTTGTCGGTTACTTAGTACATTTTTGTCAATCCAGATTTTTTTAACTATGTGACCTGCATTTACCCACGTCTCGTCCAAATAATATATTTTTCTGCTCTGTCGAAGCCACGCGACTACACATATTTCAGGTTTCTCTATCAATTCTGAATTCCGATTACGCATTTCGTAAGAAAAATTAAGTTAGTACAGGGTTTTTCTTAATACTTCGTTGCGATTACTCTTGACTTTTGCATGTACAGCCTTAAGGGTTGGTATCTCATTACTAAAAATAAATAAATATAAGGTTAGTCTTAACGCCATTTTGCTGTCGCCATTCAGTTGAACGGCCTTCAAATGGAACTTTGGATCATCGGTAGCTTCAATTTTCTTCTGTGCATGCACCACCCTGCGAACAACCCACTATGGGACGCCTATCACGCTTAGTCTTGTTCAAAGAATGTCGAGCAAGATTTGCTTCGCGTCATTTTTCAATGCCTTACGCAGCTTTCCACTGGCTCCCTGGCTTCCAGTACTTCCAACCTCCATAGTTAAGGAAATATGAGTATAACCCGAACAATAACAACAGAAATAACCAAACAACAATGTTTCTAACAACAAACAATATCACGCGGTATCTAGTCTCTCAAAGCAACAAGTTCCAAGCACTACTAGTCCAGGCCCATGTATCAGGCGATTGACTCTTGTAGCGTGGAAGCGTTGAGGCGTTATCTTATCCCAGGGCAGGAATCAGTTTTCATGCTTCCTTTCAGTCTAATTATGGCAATATTAATATTAATTAATATGTTTTTTGATTTTGACTGGTTTTAATGTTCTATTACAAGTAGACCCAAAATCATTTTGAATTGCAAGATGTTGTAAAATATAAAAATTAATGCAAATGAGATATTTCCAAAAAATGCAAATTTCTTACTAGAATCATCCCACGGCTTCGCCCGCAAGATAGTCAATCAGGATGCCGCGCGGCATCAGCTATTCGTTCATTGTTCAACAGCTGAATTGTAAAATTGAAAATCACTCGAAATGAATGAAAGCCCAAAGCTCAACCGCTTGAGCAAACCAAGCCATTTGACATCCGTTCCGAAATAGGCAACTACCTAATAAGGCAGCCAGAGGACGTTTGAAAATTAAAGCTTTATTGAGGCTTGTTTATAAGAGATCGCTATGTGCTTCCGCGGATTTTTTAGTAGAAGACCTTTATTTTTGTAGTAGTATTTATGTATGATCCACCATTTTTAAATATTTTATTTATTCGCGCAGATCGCTATAAGGAAGCTTTCTCCTTAAAACAAGTTCAAAAATTCATAAACCGTTTTACTCAAGATTATTATAACAAATGCATGAGATATTGTGAACATAATACAAAAATTAAAATTGTAATAAAGAAGTGAATCAAAGCGGTAGGTCCATATTTTCCCAATTTCTGTTTATTAAGATACTTGTATTCTAATATCACAAAGTTTGTCAGGATAATTGTGGTATATTTTGTTACCCGAATAAAATCTGTATTATTTAGAAGCTATAAATCGGTCACTCAGAGCTTAGAATACCACCATGTTCTAGCCTGATGCCTCTCAACAGCCGTTCCGTCGCCTGGCGCGCATGTGTCATTACAGTTTTAGATAGTGGTATAGTATCTCAATACGCGCGTCGACGCTAACCGTAGATTTTCGCGCTTCTATGTAAACAACTAATATTAATTCTGTGTATCTCATCGGACCCGCGCCGCCTAAACCTAGCTCAAGGTACATATCTTTTTTCTGCCTATGCCAAAACTTGCGAGGAAGTAGAGTAATCGTAAGAAATCACAATATTATGTTTTTTGGATGTTATTTGACATGTACATCTCTAGAAAACATGTCAGTCATTTCTGTCTGTCAGTCTGACTGTCAGTCTGTCCGCTAATTTCATAACCGTTTTTAACTTGAGAACTACCGCTCGGATTTTGATACAATTTTTAGTCAAGAACTACTGTGCCAGGAATGAAAAAGCTTTGTAGTTTTTGAAAATCGGTCCAGCGGTGGTGGAGAAAAAGACCAAAAACGAATAAAGTAAAAATCGCTGAGGATTTGTTATCAGTCGGATGACTAAAACATTGTCTGTTTTCACGGTTTCCATTTGGGGTCCCCTTGTAAATTATGTGGTTAATAGCTTCCTTGGTGTGAGCATGGCGAATTATCGACATTTAAGCCACAGGATAAGTTTCAGACGTTACATGTGAATATCGTGGTACTTCAAAAACGCATTTCGTGTTGGTAGATTGTTAATAACAGCTTCGCACACAGATACCTACATTACGGATGCATTTGGATGAAAATATGGTTTTTTATTGAATTGTTGCTAGGTAAGTACGGCGGAATTTCAAAATTGATTTTTTTTAAAATTCACTGCTAAGGCTAATCTAACAATCTCTCAGATATACCTCATGGCTGAATTTTGGATTTAAATTCCCCATTTTGCTTTCATAAAATCTTAAGACGAATGAACGGCACTTCATATGTCAAAATCCAAAAAACTGTTTGACCTGTAGCCCTTCAAATAAAATTTTTTTGGCACATGCCCAAACGTGAAAAATGTAACCCTCTGTCTGAGACAGTCGAGTGAAAAGCAAAAACACTGTCAACCGCCGTATAAACTATGAACATAGCACAGCCTTTCACAAGTCTAAGCCATAGTTAAAAACACCCCTTTCAATTAACCCTTTGACGCCGGATTTAATTTTTTTTCGAATTTGCGAATCTTTTTCTTTTAATATGGGTAAATGTGAACAATATGTTATAACTTTACACATTTTATTAATTTTTTTTAATCCTGAAATGCTTTAGAATATGGTTTCAATATGAAACCACTAGGTAGTAAAAGGAACTAATGATTTTTTTAAACAAAATTTTATTTCAAGTAATAAAAGAAGACAAATCCGATATTTTCCATTTATCGTCTGTGATACGGAAGGAAACAATTTTTGATTTGCGTTGAGGCATAATCCAACGTTGCATCTGAAAAAAAAGTTTTTGCTAAAACTAAAAATAAGATGAAGCATTACTTTCTTTACCTGGAACAAATCCATTTTGTCCGGTGTGGTGATGATGTAGAGCTGCACTAAGCACATCTTCTTGAACTTCCATGGATTGGCATGTGTGCACAAGAATCATATCGAATTTCCTGAGGCACATTGGCTTTGAAGGTATTTTGTTGCACTGATGATATCCGCCCTTTCTTTGGAATATTTTCGTCTGCTCCAATAAGTCCCAAGCATACTGCTAGCTTGAAATCCTTCAATGTCATACATTTGCCGGACTTAGTCGTAGTATTTCGGTTCTTGAAAATTATGTATGCATTCACTAGGGATATGTCAAGTAAATACCAAAAAATGCGCAGCCACCACTTTTTAGATTTTCGATCTAATTCATAAATTGACTTCAACATGTCTAGTTTATCTACATAACCCATGTGCTTATTATACTCCAAAACTAAACGAGGACAAGCAATATCCTGCACATCTTCATTCATGTGTTCATCTGAACTCATCTTTTCTAAGTCGGCAAAATAATATTTCTTGTTCTGATCTGAGCTAAATTTGGTCAAATTCAATCCCCAAATATTTTACAATCATGATCAACATCATATCATATAAATCATCTATTTACTTACCTCCCATTGTTTATCTAACAGCGAAAAATCCCCTATTTATTTTGATCAACCACCTGTTTGCTGCAACAACGCACACTGAACGTTATCATTACGCTAGGAAACCAAATACAACCGACGCAACTGTCAAAGCCTATCAGATGGAGTCTCAAGGGCACGTGACTGTATGAGGTTACGCACCAAGACCATTCGGCGATTAGAAATTAATTCTTATTCAGGTGGTTTCTTCGTGAAACCAGTAGGCGTCAAAGGGTTAAGGATTCCAGGAAAACCGCCTGACATTCAGGAACTTTCAGTTACCGCGCTCTGCTAGACAGTCACCGGATTCCTTTAGAACACCTATAAATCCATAAGTTACTTTAATTCCTCACAAACTTTTCTGAAGAGATAAGTTATTTTTACGGTCTGAAAGTTTTTTAATATGGACGTCGCTAGACTGTTTCGTAGTAGTCGTTTGTTTTAAAAAGCAGTTTACAAGATTTATCGAGCACTATATTTTGTTCAAGTTTCGCTCTTATCGACGTCGTGTATTTTTTATATTAACATTCAGCTTCCGATACGGAAACCTTATTTACGAACCCTGCTTCTAAAAATACAAAATCTCAACTCCCGCAAATCTTCGCTGAGCTGCTTACTACTTGTACTTGATCTGTTATAAAATAGAGCGATTGAGTCTGGAACGAACGCCGTAATTTGAGAGATTTTAAAAGCTTTCCTTTGAGGCAATGTCTGCGGAACAGTTTCTGCACTTAATGGGTAGTAATTTTATTGTAGGACTAATACACATGACGAAAGATGAATGTAAACGAATTCAACATTGCTTCAGAAAGAAGTTCATCTCCAATGCTGTTCTTAGCCATTGTGTAACACAGTACACTCGCTGTTCAGTGGTATCAGAACAACACAGTGGTATTTCATTCTACTGGTGATAAAAAACTCTGGCAAAAGTTACTACCAAAGGTATTACATTCATAGCACAGACGTTATATACTAAATGTTTTGGCTAGTACAGAAGCTGAAAGAAGCTTACTGTGCTGGCCACTTTTTTTCAAACATTATATGCATTTTTTATTAATGTCTTCAGCGTTGCATGAATTTCTTCCCTTAAGATGGAGTTCGCAGGCTATTGAAGTAAGAAAATGCTAATCAGCTTACAAGTGAGATTACAAGATATAGTTGAGTATAAACACAGAATTATTACATAATTTGAAATATCCTAACCTCAATACAATGCAAACTAAATGCGGAAGTAGTTCACGTGATGATTATATAAAATCAGTCCCGTCAGTGACCTAAAAGTTCCAAAACCACCTCTGGACCTGCGACATCTTAGAATCATTGTGTATAGGCACAAAGAAATCGAATACACTAGAAGGAGAAAAGCCTACATGTTCACATTGCACTGTTTGATGCTAAAATTCCGTAGTTGGTTTTGATGCATGACTTATTTAGCTACCAGTGCCTACTAAAGTGAGAGCATTGTATCACCATAATAATAACACTTACCGGTGGAAACATCTACCCTCATCAAGCCTGTATCTCTCTTTGCAAATTATGTAAGAAGTAGTACCATAGCTTGAAATCGTGTAACCCCACAACTACATATCTGCAAACACTCGCTCGTTTTAAAAATAACACTGAAATTAAGAATTTAATGATAAATAATGAACAAATGCTTAAGTACAATTGGGTTTATAGCTAAAGTCTTAAGTGCAGACATATCGCTGCTTTGATATATCACATCAACTTTGAAGATAGCTCAAAAATAGCCAGAGTACAAGGGGAAAGTATAGTAAGTATAAAATGAATTTGCTGAACTCATAATAGCTTATGCGGTAGGTTATGTTACTTTTTCCTCTTTATGACAGCTATCCCTATATTTCTTTGCTTTATTTTCCATGTTGCTGTAGGAAACGTATAAAATTTGCACATACCGTTTTTCCCATAGTTTCAGCAATTTACAGTGCAGCATGTGTTATGATCCATTCCGAGAATGTTTATGTTTCTACATGGAAACGTTTAGCAGATTTACTGTGGAATTATATTTAATATAGCAATTTGACGAATTTAACGATTCCGACCACCCAATTCCCACATACTGAAAAAAATACAAAAAATAATGTTTCGTCATCCTTCGTGCCAAAAAATGCCTGTCACATGTTATTATAATTTTGACAAGTTGTCTAAGTTCACAACATTGGTCATCCGACCAAGCTGACAAGTGCGCCCAGACATGCGTGTTTTACATCTTCGATGGTTGAAGTGCAAAATTTTGGAAATAGGGCTGCCAAATTTGAGGCAGACTTCATACAGAAACGTCGATCTGCAAAAATGCTATCAGCAACATATTTCTGAATACCACTACCGGAAATATGTAATTTGCAGTACGGATTTTGCGAGTTCAACCAATGGAGGCACAAGACTCTAATAACGGCACGGAAAATTCATATCTTTCAAGGGAGAATGTGTAAAGATTTTTAACAAGGGTAGCAACCGATAGGGTACCTCACGTCATGGTTTACAATCGGCTCGTTCGGCCTGCCAGGTACGGACTGGCCCAGGAAAGGTACTTTTGCAGCGTGTGTAATATACTATTTTTTCTTACTCAAACTGAAAAGTGACACATCGATCTTTTATGCCATTATGGAGGCTTTTTTGACCTGATGAAGGTTTTAGTAGGCACGGAGTGAAACTACATTTTACCGCTCTTTTAACATATAGGTTTTTTACGTAATAACCCTGTGGGTCCCTCATAGACTCTTAATATATGGTGACTTTGGAAACCCCATCTTATAGACGAAGTGGGCAAATAAAGGCAATTTCTGGAAAATTTTCCCACAATAGCTCTTATCTTTTGTTTATCTTGTTTGAGGTAGGATGACAAAATAAATTGAACATTCATATATCAGTCTCTTTTTCTCTGCGATGTGGTTTAAATAGAATTTCAATCTGCCGTTCCATCTTCTGTCAATAAACATTTTTTCAAATGGACGTTATATTAGATTTTTGCACAGGTAGATATAGTTTTCAATTCCTATCCAAAAAATGTACAATATTGTCATATTTTGACATTGTCAGACCGAAATTGTATCAGAATGCTTATCTTTCCCCGGTTGGCCCTGAAAATAACAGCATATCACAGGTTTATTCAATTACATCACCAATTAAATATTGCTTTAGTCTTTCCGAAGCGTGGTTAATGGACATTTAGATAATTAAGCCATTTATCTATCGACCATAATATTCGCATGTAAAAGTCTCCATACATGAGAAGGCAACGTAGGTTTAATGTTATTTAGATGCAAAATCGATATGGTGAATATGAAATGAATTTGGCAGCCTGCAACACCTTTTGCTTACTATAAACTGTTTCTTCTAGTTTCTTGAAGTCATGCCGCCTCGAGTGTTTTCATTGTTACCTTAAAATAATATGAAATTTTCATGACGTTAATCAGTATCATGGTATGCACATTAACACATCATTAAAATTGGAAATCTGGACTGTTTGCCGATGCTCTGACCATTGTAACTAAAGGAATGCTTGGCTGATGAAGCTATGAAACAAATGATTATCTGTAGTTTTAGAATAATAGTTTGTTTATATAAAAATTCAATATACTGCATACACGAAATTAGTTATAGTTTAAAAGAAACTAAAAAAACACGATTTTATACTACATTTTCATAACTCTCCGCTCATAGATAGTTGCCAAGAGAATGAATGTAACATTTAATAGTGGGCATGCAGCAGCGGTGGCCGCAGTAGTAGACTCTTCGGTCTCCTGATCAGTCGCCGTGCGCTGTGCGGGTTCGAGTCCCATCCCAGGAGAAATTTTTCTCTTGGCTATGGATGTTATGATTGTCCGTAGGTGGTAGACGGTCTCTGACGAACGTGGAGGTACCACCCGGCGGATCTCGTAGGCGGAGCCAGAATGTGTGCATGTTGCATGCACACGTGTTCCCTCGCCAGAGTCCGTGTGGCGTTCCCCCCTTCCCCTGTATCCCCCTATAGCCCTAGGTACCCAATGGGTGTTTAGGCCTTAAGCCTTCGTGGTAGTTGGAGTATAAAAAAAATATATCTCCCCACGCTTTTTACTCTGAATTGAATTATTCTATTAATAACTTTTATTATAATTTTATTATCATTAATTATGATTGATTGTTCGACCACCTACTACTGTAATATAAACTATTTGTAATTAAAAATTATTTTCTACTTTTCAGTTCGGTTAGCTATAACAGCGTGTTTTTGTTAAACTATTATTCATTTTTCATTTTTTAGTTCGATTTAACAATTAGATTTTTACGGACGAATCATTTCGTAATCTAATCATTTCATTTAAAGCTTCACCGTCTCGAGACCTTACACGACTAAGTGCTACATAAGCTTGTCCAGCAGACAACAGTCGTGAGCCTAGATAAATGACTGCATCATCGACTGTACAACCTTGGAGCTTGTGGACGATGGAAGCCCAGCTCAGGATTAATGGCAACATTCGTCTCTCAGCAGTTCCATAGCTGTATTTCGCTGGGAACTGAGTCGATATCGGTTCAGTCATGTGCACACCATCTGAAACGAAATCGATACAGACCAACGGTATCTATGTAGGAGTCGTACTTGAAACAGAAGTATTCGGGACACATACTCCCGGCACGGGGAGAGCTAACCGTGGAGTATGCTGACACAATTAAGACGCGATCAGCCATTTTTCCACACCTCCAGTTAATTACAGTAACAGTCTTATTTTTTTAATTAATATTCATCATTTGTGTTTTTAATCAATAAGACTTTATAGTTAAGAATTCTTTGATCGTGTTAAAAATCCTTGTTTATCGACTGCAAATTCCAAGCAAATTTTGTTCCGTAAAATAGGTAGATTGAAGTTTATGTTCTGATCATTGCGCTATGAATAAGAAGCCTTTTATGAATCACGGTTACCAAACGAGCCCCTTCCCACTTCAGTTGGCCCACTTCAAGATTTGTACCAAAATATGCCTTTATAAACTAAACTAAAACTTCTAAAACAATTTATTTTCTCAAAAACATTTTAGATACACTTTAGCCGTAAAAAATACATATTTGAAATCACTTAGATAACTTAGATAACTAATAGAACATCTGAACAAATAAACAATGTGCGAATAAATGCGCGAAGTTAACAAAGCAACAATTGAAAGAGTACCATTGAGTAACATCACCTTTATTGTTTATTACGGCTGAAATTCTTTGGGGCATAGTGTTAACCAAGTTTTGGCAAAAATTTGGTGTAAAACAATCCCATATTTCTTGAAACCTTTGTCTCAGTTCGGTGATTGTACGAGCAGGATGTTGTAGAACCTTTTTCATCTCGTGCCACAAAGTTTCAATAGGTGACAGATCTGGACTGCTAGAAACCCATTTCAAAAGTGGTACATTATTTTCTACCATCCATTTTATAGCCTTTTTTGAGGTATGGCACGCTGCACCATCTTGCTGAAACATAAAATCTTGGCCGGATGTCAAACATTCTTCCATCACTGGTAAAAGCGATTCTTTTAAAATTGCCAAATATTTGTTTGTATCAACATTTCCATCAATAAAATGAAGTTTTCCTACTCCTTTTGATGACATACTGCCCCAGACCATAATGGATGCTGGAAATTTCACTTTTCTCTTCAGACAGTCAACATGGAATGCTTAATTTTTTTTTGCGAATAACTCTACTGCGACTGTCACCAACACGAACTTCGGATCGGGCATCATCACTCCATTGTATTGCACACCATTTTTGAGGTGTCCGTTGTCTATTTCTTATTTCTTTAGCCCATCTAAGCCGATTTTTCTTTTACAGTGGAGTTAATAGTGGCTTTTCTTTGGCCTATAAACAAGTTGTGCAACTTTAGGGTTTTTTACTTCACTTTTTTTTATAAGAAAACTTACCTTGCAAGTGCTAAATCCCAGTTTGAGGGCCTCTCTGTGAGTTGTGAACCTCGAAATTCTTCCTCCAACAGCGTCACTCCACAGAGCACTTAATTGTAAATAATTGGCACGCCTGTTTCTCAGGACTATTCTTCTTGATGCTCTTCGGTCGGCATTTGTGATATTACTTTTTTTCACATATCGTGACTTAATATGAACTGAACCAGTTACGTTATAACAATATTTCTCACACTGTACCGCGATAAGTCTAACAAAGTTTCAATTTCTGAGTTTGATTTCCCAGAATTAAAAAATTTAATTATCAGTAACCGAATTTTCTCACTAATAACCTTTCCTCTACCCATTTTGAAAACCTTAACTACCCAAAACTATTTTAAACGTATTCTGACAGCTGTGATTAATAAAAACAATTGTCATGGCTTTTACTTTTCACAGCCACCTGCGTTATAGACTTATTTTGAATTGAAATGAAAATAGGTTGGTATGCTGTAATTGCAACATGTGTTATTTTTATGCTGCAAATTTGATTAGGGAGTGATAAAGTTGGTGTTTTCTACTATATATTACCAAAATATTCATTGTTAATATTTTAAACCTATAACACCCTGCTAACATTTTTATTATTTGTGTTTGATAAGAAAAAAACTAAGATTTCAATAGCTGGGCCAACTGAAGTGGGAAGGTGCTCGTATATATATTATATGAATATTATATATAAACAGTAATTCAGGTGTATTAGACTCATTAGTACATATGCATGTATAAGGAATTGACAAGATGAGAATGCACTACCTTGAAAAAGTATTTGCCTTTGTTGTTCTGTGCTAAATACCCGAGCCAACAAAGAGCAAGTCCGAAACTGCACGCATGCGCAGATCTATCTCTCTTACTCCCTACAGAGGATCTATACACGAATTTATCAATCCTGACGGTTCTAATAAATATAATGGAAAACTGTTATCAAATTATTGCATTGTCATTTTCCTTGATACGAGTGCGACGTTTCACATTAGTCAAACTTCTAGAAATTGGTGAAGATTATGCTGAAAGATTCCGTTACACACATACATACATATGTAACATACATACATATGTTACATACATACATATGTTACATACATACAGGCCAAGATTATAAAAGCGTGTTAAAAACAAAGTTGTTGATTGGGTACAAGAGACAAAACGTCATGTTGAAATTCTAACTATTTTACATTGTAGAGGAGAAAAAGCGGCATTGATCTGGTATTTATTCTGCAATCCAACCTCAAATAAAGTTAGCAAGAAATAAATACCGACCTTCTGAAAATTCGTTTTTTCATTTAACCCTGGAAACAATTTGAACTGTGTACACATCTGGAAAGTAAGGTTAGAATCTCGTTTATTTATTTTTATTGAAAACTGCCCAAATCGTACCACGCTGGGCTGGGGAACACATGTCATTTTAATGACTAACGTTTAAATCCACCTACCTGTTTGTTTGTTTTACACAAAAAAATGGTATGTGTTGTTTTTGTACACGGAGAAAAAAGAAAGCCTATTGACAGAGATATCCTTAATGTTGACAAAATTTTCTTTTTCTAAGTTGTTTCAATATCTAACGTTTGAATATAGGTTCCTACCTATATTTTTTGACTAACAAAAAAAAATCTGTTATGAATTGTTTTTTATGTACACAGTGAAAAAGAAATACGTACTTTTTCTAGAGAAAAAATCTGCTATAGAAGTTTTTGATGTATACAGAGAAAAAAGTACCTTATATTTGCTTAAAAATAAAAATTTGTTTGTTGTTCAAAAAATATAGGTAGTTTGTTTTAATTTTAATAAAATATGTTTTAAATAGAAAACAATGTGTATCATTACATTTTTTTTCGTAAATAGAAAATAAGTTTTATAAAAAATAGCAATAATTTAAAAAATGTTTGATTGTTTCAGAAAATGCTCAAAAGAGAATATAGAAAATAGTCCATGGATGACTTGAAAAATGCAATAACAGAATATCAAAATGGAAATATTGGCTTTAATGAATGTTGCCGTAAATACGAAATTCCTAAACCAACATTTAAAAGACATCTCTTAAAACAAGTTAAAATAGGTGAAAAAGATCCACAACAGAACAAAAGGTGAATCAACGGAAGAACACCTTCACTTCCCGAAGAGTTAGAACAAGTGTTGGTATCTCATACCTTAAAGTTCGAGGAATTACTCTTTGGACTCACCATCACAGACGCAAGCTGGCTTATGATTTAATGGCATCCTGTCTAAATCTACCAGATCCTTTTAATAATAAGAAGAAAATTGCCCCGAGCTTAGGTTGCGTCAACCAGACAACATTTCGATTGCGCGCTCTAAAGTATTCAATAAGACCAATGTGCATTAATTTTTCGATGTGTTGGAAATGATTGTTGATGGAAATGGAATAGACGCTTTCACATTTACAACGTCGACGGCTCTGGTTTGTCGACGGTACAAAAAAAATCACAAAAAGTTTAGGCTCTTAAAGGAAAACATCAAGTTGGTTTTCCTGCCAGTGGAGAACAAGGCATTAATACAACGTTGGTATGTTGTTGCATTGCCGCAGGCACCTATGTTCCTCCCATGTTCATATTCAAAACACAACGTATGCACGCACTCAACAATGGAGCCTTTCCTGGTAGTATTGTGCAGTCCAGCGAAACCGATTGCACTAACTCAGAATTATTTGTTGAATGGTAGCAATATTTCATTAAATTTTTGAAATCAAGTAAATATAAAAAATGCATAATTTTTCTCCATGGACACTACTCATTCTAAAAACATAGAGGCCATAATATTAGCTAGAGAAAATAGCATAATATTACTGCAACTTTCGGGGCATACGACCCATAGGTTGCAGCCTCTACATGTTGGAGTTTTTTTAAGTCCTATTACCCTCGTGCCAGGGGGGTGGTTGTAGATGCACTTCTCTGCACGATGAATGTTACTTCTGGGGTTCGAATTGGTTGTTGATTTGGAGGATTAGGGCGCTGGAGGAAATGAAAAGATTGCCAATTTCCAGAGCTTGCCCAAAATCTATTTAACTATTTTTAATAAATCACCTGAAGGGTGCTATTACAAAGTTTGCAACAAACTACCTGAAGGATGCT